AATTTTTGGGTATGATCAAACCACAATATCGCAGCGGGCTGAGCAAAAATGATTTAGAAAATCATTCGATCGCCTACCAGTGATTTGTTGGATTATATTTATAGAAGTAAAATCTTGACGTAACGTTCTAATTTATTGATTTTTGCTCCTCATGCTTATGTACCCATTTATTAAAAATTCATCGAATTCATATCCCCTGTTAATCAACATTGCAGTTTTCATCACTTCACCATAGTTTACATCATCGTCAAGCTTTCGGTCAAGGAAGTTCAGAATTTTCAGCCAGCGGAGCGTCGGACGTTTTCTTGGGCGCCGTAGACTTAGCTCCCGCAGCCTCGCTTATTGCATTTGCGGTGCGCAGTGCTATTTACACAGCCACTTTTGGGGACGACAGCTGCCTGTACAGCTGTACACAGCTGCCTGTAAAGCTGTACATAGCTGCCTGTGCAGCTGTACATAGCTGCCTGTAAAGCTGAACATAGCTGCCTGTACAGCTGTACATAGCTGCCTGTGCAGCTGGACATAGCTGCCTGTACAGCTGCACATAGCTGCCTGTACAGCTGTACATAGCTGCCTGTACAGCTGTACACAGCTGCCTGTACAGCTGTACGCAGCTGCCTGTACAGCTGTACGCAGCTGCCTGTACAACTGTACGCAGCTGCCTGTACAGCTGTACGCAGCTGCCTGTACAGCTGCTCTGACGTACGCAGCTGCCTTTACAGCTTGTTGCCAATGCACAGGTTAGATATCTTATCCTACTGCCTTATTTATTACACAATTTATTTTATTATTATTACCTATATTCTTGTTAACATTCATAAACTGCTACTACTCAAAATTGTGCTCCGATATTACCCATCCAGTCAAGCTTGGCCTTTTGATATGTTGTTAACAGTTACGGACAGCTTTTTCAAACAAATGTTAAAATAAACTCGCGACAAAGTAACAAAAAACCCATAATTTTTCAAATAAATCTTATCAATGCTGCTGATGATTCACTCCTTTTCTATATTTTTCAGTAATATTCGTAGTTTTGGGGCCCCATGGACAATTGTGCGGAATTGGGAGCTTATCAGAGTGAAGGCATTAAGATTAAGAGAGAGCGGGAGAGAGGGAGAGATGATGAGGGAGATTAGTTAAGTCTTCGTATACGGGGGCCAGAGTTCGTATGTGTTATACGGTGAAGACTTAACAGCGTGGATATAAGGAAATAATATCAGTGTATACATTACTGGTATTAGTCAGATAATTAGTCATTAGTCAGAGAAACTAGTGAGACCTTGTCCAACTAGCGATGTAAATTTTACCATTATGTATAGGTCATCCGGACCTAGTTTGACTCGGCAAAAGAGATTAGCAGTGCTACATTCGAGGAGTGTGTCACTATTTTGACAGTATGGCCCATTCATTTCTGTGAGTGTCTCAGAGAAAAAGTTACTTCGTTGCCAGTGTATCATGAATGCCACAATGAAAACCATAAAATTTTCTCAACACACCCAGAAGCAATTATTATGTAATATGCAGTCAAATCTAATGCAGTTTGTGATAGATACCCTGTTCAGGGCTGTACAGATACCTACAGCTTGCGATAGATACCTTCAGCTTTACAGTTGTGTTCTTCCCAAATAGTCTAGTCCCGTCCAAATCACTCTTGTAAAGGCATTCCCAACCCTTCACGAGTCTCATGATACATCCAATTACCCAAGTTGCTCCTGGTCAGAACTTCTTCATTGACTTCATATAAATGCCTCATGCTATTGCTTTTTATTTGGGTGGGTGCGTTAGTTGGGTCTCTCCTTATTGTGATTACGGATATTTTATATGCAGAAATTAAGGGCTGTACTGAAAGAATTTCTCACCAATGACCGCTGATTATATAAAATATGCTTCCTGATAAGTGGTTCATTCCAATACTTTCATAATTTCAATAATTTCTTTCATTTCATATGTGTTCCTTGCACGCACGTGTCATCCGCCTATCATTCTTACCCTGAATTTCTCACCCCTCATCAGCCTTCATAGTTACCCTGAATTTCTTACCCTAGACCGCAATTATGAGTCATTAGCAGATCATTGAGGAGAGCGTAAGGGCATTATTGCGACGACCGCAGCACGTGGCGGCCACGCCATCCGTCACCTCCTGCACGATGCCGTGGCCATCGCGCCACCACGGCCATCGGGCCACCACGGCCATCGGGCCACCACGGCCCTCACGCCACCACGGCCCTCACGCCACCACGGCCCTCACGCCACCACGGCCCCCACGCCACCACGGCCCTCACGACGGCCCTCACGCCACCACGGCCCTCACGCCACCACGGCCCTCACGCCACCACGGCCCTCACGCCACCACGGCCCTCACGCCACCACGGCCCTCACCACTTTATTGCGATGTAAAATATTGAGAAAATCATGGATTAAGGGAAAAATAATTTCGTGCTATGTTTTTCGTCTATGATGCAGATAAATTTTCAGATGAACATAGCATGTTATTTGAACAAGAAATGATAGACTGAACGCCACCCATGTAGCTTTTATTCTCTGCAAAATTAATCTGCTGACGTTATTGAGTGTCGATATTCGTGGCTTGAAAAATGAGGCTGCGGTGCCGCAATAAAGCAGCGACGCTGTCACTCGGCACACCTCACACGACGCGTGCTGGCGGCGCTCAAAATCTTGGACGCATTATCGGCGGTCAAATGATGACCAGCTGTCATTCACTATCATTCTTGATCATACATATCATTTAAGGTCTGTCAGTGGCCGTCAAGTTATACACATTAAATTAAAAAAATCAGAGGCTCATCTGAGGTTACGGAGCAAGTTTAGGAGCATGAAAGTTTGCATGAAGGAGAAAGTTTACATTCCTCTATGATGAGCTTTGTTGGATCTCTTGATATTCTAATTCCAGGGGAAATTCATCACCAATTTAATGAGCTGCAGAAAACGTTGATTAACCTGAACGCGAATTAATCCCCATAATTTAATTAATGTAAGTTTAAGCCGACGCATAATTTCAAATCATCGCTCATCTCAGGACAAGAACAACAACCCTGGTTGTTTGCCCCCTGATTCGCAAAAGTGACCGGCAAGTCTCGCCCTGGCAATTGACGTTGAAACAACGTTTAATTTACGTTTACTCAACGAAACAACGTTCAACTCAACGTTTATTCAACATCAGATGTCTGAAGGGGATCTCGCAAGCCTTGAATATATGTTGTCGAGATCCAGCAAATACATGCGTCATATATGTATACGCCGCGTCCCAGAGTTCGCTGGGTGCCGGATTGTCCCTTTGCGTTTTTATGGAAAAAGACGAGATTGTTCGGCTTATCGGGAGTGCATCTTAACAGGATGAATGTGTTTGTTGGCCGTGCACGGTCGTCAGATAGAAGGCCTAATAGGACGCATTTTGTTCTACAATAATAAAAATATATTTTGTACTTTTTTGTAGATATTTGGTACTTCCAATAAAAATATTTATCGGAAGTACCAAATATACTTCCAGTATATAATACCATAGACATTTTTGAATTTAATACTTGAAGAATTGTGCACTTTTAGCGCATTTACCTGTATATGTAAGCCCAATTACAAATATTTACTTAGGAGTTTATTTTGAATTCGATTGAAAGGCAGTAGTAATTACAGTTATTATAGCGTGCACTCCGATGCTGTTGATTTTGTTCTATTCAGCTTTGAGAAATGTTATTCCCTTGCCAGTCCGTCTCAATTCCAGTCTCACAATTTCATGCTTGTATAAAAACGATGGATTCCATTTCTATCTAATTTTTAATTCCTATATTTTTTCAATGTAGCAACACAATCATGATCATTATAGATTTACAGTTAATACTGAATCTTGTCTGATGATATATTGGTTGTATTTAGAGAATCTCTGGTCAGAGTCAGATTATCTCAGGGCCTGTCACTGTTTTTTCAGTATTCAGGGTAGAATAATGTGGACAAATACAAGCTTATAGGATTACCGACGCGGGAATGAGCTTTGATAGAGGGTAATCCTATGTTTTTTTGGTTCGTATTGTGGACGTTTTTGTAGGATTTTTACGTAATCTGTATTCCACTTAATAAAGTAGTTTATCTATGAACGTGTGAATTAGTTAGTTATTAAATACACTAGAGTTTTCGAAAGTTTAAAAATGGTTTTCAATTACCATGTAATTCAAGTTGCATTTTGAAGCCATTATTTTACATTTTAGCGTTTGTAAAACCCATTTATGACATTCATGCTCAATTTATAGGTAAACTTGTAGATTTAGATTATTGGCAAAGTCATGTAGATAATAAATATGTTGGTTCGAATGAAATTTATAATTTGATTAATAAATTTTCCATTAATAACAGCTCATCTATGAATTTCAAGACAGCAAGCAGTAAAATTGAACTTCTTTGAATGATATTATTATAGCTCCTAAAAATGCTACAATAAGAATGATCTCATTGTAGCTCCAAAAACTCCATTTGTTTTAATGAAATGTTAAATGACACTTTTATGTATAAGATATTGTCCGAGCATCGATGAAATATTATTGTGGCAGAAGTAGGTCCAATATTTATTAAAAATCCGTAATTTTTTAATAAATCTTCCTGGTAAATGATTACTGAAAGACGTATATATAAATTTTCGTTGTTCATGCTCTGAATTTGAACTGTTATTTGGTACTTTCTTACCCAATTATGTTGGTGTGTGATTCTGTGACGAATGACTGTTGATTCTGTTGATTCTTTCTTGAGATTTGCACTTCTCTGAGAATATTTGTAATTATTCTTCATTGCCGTCATGAGAAAAATTAGGTAATATAACCGTTTTGGCCAATTGATTAATATAAATTGTTGCTAAATCATCTTCAATCTTTTAATGAGAAAATACCGTCGCAGCTTCCACAGTTTACCTAGCCCATTCCACAAAATCTTCAATCGTTTAATCTAATATAGAATAATAATAATAATGCTATAAATAAAGTTTTTTGGCTGCTTAATTAGCAAAGCAACGCCTGTGTGATAGTCGGTGGATTATCGTGCTGGTGGATTGTTGTGCCGGTGGATTGTTGTGCCGGTGGAATGTTGTGCTGGTGGATTGTTGTGCTGGTGGATTGTTGTGCCGGTGGATTGTTGTACCGGTGGATTGTTGTGCCGGTGGAATGTTGTACTGGTGGATTGTTGTGCTGGTGGATTGTTGTACCGGTGGATTGATGTGCTGGTAGATTGTTGTGCCGGTGGATTGTTGTGCTGGTGGAATGTTGTGCTGGTGGATTGTCGTGCTGGTGGATTGTTGTGCCGGTGGATTGTTGTGCCGGTGGAATGTTGTACCGGTGGATTGTTGTGCTGGTGGATTGTTGTGCTGGTGGATTGTTGTGCTGGTGGATTGTTATACCGGTGGATTGTTGTACCGGTGGATTGTTGTACCGGTGGATTGTTGTGCTGCTGGATTTTTGTACCGGTGGATTGTTGTACCGGTGGATTGTTGTGCTGGTGGATTGTTGTGCCGGTGGATTGTTGTACCGGTGGATTGTTGTACCAGTGGATTGTTGTACCGGTGGATTGTTGTGCCGGTGGATTGTTGTACCGGTGGATTGTTGTACCGGTGGATTGTTGTGCTGGTGGATTGTTATACCGGTGGATTGTTGTACCGGTGGATTGTTGTACCGGTGGATTGTTGTGCTGGTGGATTGTTGTACCGGTGGATTGTTGTACCGGTGGATTGTTGTACCGGTGGATTGTTGTGCTGGTGAATCGTTGTGCTGGTGGATTGTTGTACCGGTGGATTGTTGTGCTGGTGGATTGTTGTGCTGGTGGATTGTTGTGCCGGTGACAGCGCGCAGGTCTGGCAAATCCAGGCTACAGATGGTGGCCAGCAGCACAAATCTTCGTAATCCACGAGTCTACGAGGCGTAAAAAACACACGTCACCCCACCTTGTCCTCTCACGGTGCTTTCTATTTAAAGAAATTCGATTATATGAAGGTAGATGTGTGAATTATTTTTTTTTGTTCTATTGAATTTTCTTCAAGCCAACTTCTCAGCTCTTCTCTTACATCTTCTCACGAGTTATTTGCAATGCATACAAAAAAGTTATCAAAGTTGGAAATTATCAGTATTAACCCATACCATCTCGCGTAGAAAGTGTGAAAGTAAAAGTCATTTATTTTATTTAGTAATATTTTATTTAGTATTGATTGTTTTTTCTATGTTAATACCAACAACCAACAAGTAACAAAATTTTGCAGTGAAATTTCCTGTAAAATGACTTTAATAATTGTAAATGATAAATTAGGTTCCTCGTAGTAAAATTGGTCCAAAGCCGACGCTTTTTATTTGGTTTTTGAAATACATTATGATATATGCGAAATTTAATTTTTAATTAATATATTATTTTGCGATCAAGACAATAATACAAAAAATGAAATTTGCAGATTAATAGCCTCCGACTTTTGAAACTACATTATTTAAAAGTAAATGCCGATTAAACGTTCATGAATTTTGAAACAATGTTCTATTAACCAAAAAACAATGGTGCTCTAAGCTCAACCTCTTCTCAGCTCTGATATAGCCTGTAAACTTATCTTTCAAAGCCGGAAAAATAATCTGACCACATTTATATTACCAATAAGTATTTAATGAGAATTAATTTCATGCACGGTTTCACTATCGTATTCATCATACACATGAGCGCTATATAGTTCTCCAGCAACGCTCCAGCGTACGCTGCTTGTCATGCTTCGGCACAATGAAATAAAATGGTGAATTTTTTTGGCTATTTTCAATCAAAGATTAAATACCTACTTTACCCACAGTTAAAGAGGTTGATGGAATAGGTGTATGAAATGCTCATAACTGAGCAACTCAATTTCGAATTAAAAACACAGGAGTTTGTACAGTTAATGAGTAAGCTGTTATGAGTTACTGGAGAGCTATTTTGAGAACACGCTGAGCAACCTAACAGGTTCTTACAATATTCAGACTGCCTTCTCATCTCATTACTGTGTGTTATTCAGACTGCATACAGATCTGTTCTACCCTGAATCACCAGCGACGTGTTGACCGTAAGTGATAGAACTTTCTTTGCCTCCACGCGAATGTTCCTGGAAGGGAAAGAACTTTTTTCCAGTAGTCTTGGGAGGGAAGCTGCGCGCCTCGTATAGATTTCGGCCGGACTCGTGCCATGAATGCGATAGTAGCGGCCTAATACGATACCACAAAGCCGGCCTCCTCACAATTACCTCAAAAAATTCTGCTGGTATTGCCATACACAAAAATCCTTATTATTGCGCATACGACAAAAATAATGGCCTTTTTTTGCACGTGTTAAAAAATTATGTGGAAATTCGGGTCCATAGAAAGAGAACGGTTAAAAATAATTTGGATGTCCAGCAATCTTGGATTTGAGAGCGTTTTTATTTTACACTGACGAGTCATATGAACGGTTGGAATGCAATGAAATATGTAGGAAACTTTTGAATTGTAGCCAGGCTGGTGTAGCCAGGCTGGTTCGATGGTTCGAAAAAGTGGTAATTAGATAGCTGAATGAATGAGCATTCTAAAACGAACTTTTTGTTTGATTACGTGCTCATCGTATCGACGAATTTTGCTCACGTATAGTGTCTCTATTAGCGAATTTATCTTGCAAAAATTATTGGAACGATATCATAATTACTTGCCTTGAAGCGGTAATTTTTTTCAAAAATAGATTTTATTAAATAATCTCTATTAGCAAAAAATTTTTGTACTGATGTAGTCGTTAAACACGTATTAGTGCCTACTTTATAAGACCTGTTTCTTATCATCGTATCTAAGAAATTATTTGCGATCGGGTCCTTTTTTGGCCACAGCGCCGAAGTTAGCAGCTTGGACCCGAGCAGTTGTTGTGTGCGACGTTTGGTCAAACTGTCCCGTTAATGAGACGCAGAAACAAACAGTGGGAGAGAGACAGGCAAACACTGCCAGTAAACAGACAATGAAGCCAATACACCAGCAAACACTGGACGACGATGCTGCAGTCTTATCTGCACTATTACCGCTCCGCTGCTCTAGATATACCTTTAGGTATATCCAGATACCTATATGACTCAGGATATATAGGATATAGCTATAGGTATATCCTATACAGGTAAATCCAGATACCTATAGGACACAGGATATATAGGATGAACCTTTAAGTATACCTTATACAGATACAACCAGATAACTATAGAATATATAGGACGTATAGGATATACCTATATTTATATCCAGATATATTTAAAGGTATAGACTCTCCATATCCTACAACCATCCTTGCCGGCAGTTATTTGCCTCCAACCTCTGTTAAATCAATCAATATAATTTCCAGTTTTTTTTTAACATTTCAATCGAGCAATTTATGATATATTTTAACACGTTTTTCTTAGCTTAGCTTCGCGTTTGTTTGTTTGTTTGTTGTTAACATTGACAACGAAAATTAGCCCACTTCTGATTGCTCTAGAGATCTGAAATTCGGCATGCAGGCTATTTTCGCCTAACAATTTCAGATACAATTATAAAAACTAGCAATTAGACCTAAATTAGCTTAATTGAGTAAAGTATATATAAATAGTATATATATAGTATGACGTGCGGGCGCTGACGTTATAGACGAGCAGGCGCTAACGCTGCGTATCATCGATACGTACGTCAAGGCAAGTAAATTGGCTCGCAACAACGTTTTTCATGTGTAGCAACGGACTAAAAAGGAGAAAATAAAATACTTAAAAAAAAAAACTTTAAAAAAAAACCACGTTTTTCTTGTGGACTAAAAAGTAGAAAATAAATTGGGGCTCGCCCCAAAAAACGTGGGTCGGGCTGTACGTACGTTCACCATCAAATTTCTAAAATTCGTGTGTTGTGTGCTTTTCGCTTTAATCATAAATCTGCCCGACACACGTTTTTTGGGGCAAGCCACAATTTATTTTCTACTTTTTAGTCCACAAGAAAAACGTGTTTTTTTTTAAAAGTTTTTTTAAAGTATTTTATTTAAAATACTCTTTTTCCATATCCTGCTTCCATCCATCCATCATGTTTGGTCACTCCTACTAATTAGAAGACTTGCTTCAATAAAGTGCTTTTAATTATTGTTTTTTTTACAAATAATATTTCTTTAAATATATTTCTTGAATGGCCCTTTCAACGGCGGTCATTTGTTGATGAATAATTTCTCGAGTGAATTATTCTTTCATTATTTGCTTATCTATTGCTCTTACTGTTCCTGCTTTTAATCCCTTTCTTCTTGTTCTTCATTCGTTCGCTTTGCGTTCATTGCAGCCACATATTTCAATTTTTCATTCGAAACGTATTTAATATATAAATATAACTTGCTAAGCCTGCCTTTTGATTTACCAATGTCATCTAAAAAATTAATTGACTCTTAGAAAATTGTAGTACATTCATAAATTCTGCTCATTAATTGTACGTATATGTTTTAATTTTTGCACTTATTTCGTCCACGATCCTTCTGATAGTTTTTCCACGCAATTCCTCTTCATTTCGTCGTTATTTCCATACAAAGTTTTTCGTTCAATTACCGAATCGGATTAGTCTTTTATAATGGAGGCTGTTTTCCTAATTTTCTTTCAGTTTTTTTTATCTAGAAAATTTTTTCTTCTCTTTTCCACATCAACTCCATATCTCCTCTATTTTCTCCTTAGATCGTCTTCCCTCTCAACTCCATATCTCCCTCTTTTTTCTCTTTAGATCGTCTTCCCTCTCAACTCCATATCTCCTCTTTTTTCTCTTTAAACCGTTTTTCCTCTCAACTCCATATCACCCTCTTTTTTCTCTTTAGACAGTCTTCCCTCTCAACTCCATATCTCCCTCTTTTTTCTCTTTAGACCGTTTTTCCGCTCAACTCCATATCTCCCTCTATTTTTCTCTTTAGACCGTCTTCCCTCTCAACTCCATATCTCCTCTTTTTTCTCTTTAGACCGTTTTTCCTCTCAACTCCATATCTCCCTCTATTTTTCTCTTTAGACCGTCTTCCTCTCAACTCCATATCTCCCCTCTTTTTTCTCTTTAGACCCTCTTCCCTCTCAACTCCATATCTCCCTCTTTTTTCTCTTTCGACCCTCTCCCCTCTCAACTCCATATCTCCCTCTATTTTTCTCTTTAGACCGTCTTCCTCTCAACTCCATATCTCCCTCCTCTTTCCACATGCCCTCTTCGTTTTTCCCAAACTGTTTGCACTCATAGAAACGAGCGGGACTTTCTTCAAATATCGATGCAATTTTTCCCCTTTTTTCCAGTAAGTGTGACACTATTTGGACAATATGACCCATTTAGTTTTCAAAGTGTTGCTTCATAGGTTTTCCCGGTTTGGTCCGTCCCAGTTCTCAGAATAAATTATTTTGTACGAGCATTGACACACTTTTCTTACTCACGGCACGAGCAGGGAGCGAACGTAGCACTGATACGTCTGCCCCAACTGCGTCAGGATGACCTGCACAAAGGCAAAAGTGCATCGCTATTTGGACAATGTCACATTCATTTCCATGAGTATGGACATGCTTCCTCTCAAGTGCAGGCGCATATCATCCAAGTCATCTAGAGACCATCGCTAGGTGCTGGCACTAGCGACATCAGCACTAGTATCAGCAACGCTAGTATTGTGCATCACTGGCAGTATCAGTGCAGTCTCGGCATCACTGGTATCCGTGACAGTATAACACTGGCAGCTTCACCACAACTTGTCCCACCAGCAGCAGCCTCATAAGCACCATCATCACCACAACAATTACCATCATATTAAGTACCACCACCACCACCACCACCACGCTTCATGGACGCAGCAGTATTCTGGTCACGCCGCGCTCTGCTCTGATACCAGCGGCCAGAGTAACGAAAGCTCGGAGGCAACGGGCGCTCACACACGGAATTGCAAGTCCGAAGAGAGGAGAAATAGTAAATATAGATTTAAAAGGACGGGAAGAATTACGTTTTAGCTCCTATCTAGAGAAATGGATGGGAGACTGACTTGGTGGGGGTTTAGTACTAAATGGACATTCGTAGCCTGATGAAAATGAGGGCACTCACTGCTGATGTCGAAAGTCGGGAATTTGTTTTCTATTTCCAGCTGTCTGTCGACTTTCACTAGAAATTTGTTCCATAAATGTATTTATAACAATATTCCACCAAAATGTAACTACAACGTGACTTCTGGATCGTTACTGTTAAGGGGTTAAGTAAACTTATATATTCTTAGTGCTGAATGGTGCTGTGGATTTTCAATAAATGCTTTCACTTAGCTGATGGATTTTACAAAGTTAGTAATTCTGTTGACCTGCGACGTCTTCTCGGCAATTGTTCTCGGTGGTGAAGTCCGTCGTATTTTAGACTTAGTCTTAAATTTCAGAGCCTCTTTACTCCTCAGGCTTTAATTTGAACGGGAGGGCGATTTACGGGCGGTTAAAAGTTTAATTAAAGCTCGGCCTCGCAGCAAACGATAGAGAAAGAATTCCGTGATCTCGTTCTTAGAAGTTGAAGTGGTGAGAAAAACTGCTTATTCTGAGTAGCGATAATCGAATTATGATTATCATTTATTTGACTGGTTGTAAAATTATCTTTTGTAGGCCTAAGTAATTTAAAAATTTTGTATATCGTTGTAAATTTTGCACAAAACATTATTGTTTTATGCATGATAATGTGTTTTTGATTTACGTTGAATTATTTCTATCATAGAAATTTAATATCCGATTAGTTATTTTTACAACAGTTCTCTTTAACTTCGCTTCTTGTTGTTGATTCGTTTGTTTGTTTGACTGCAACAAATCTTTTAATCGATATAAAATTAACACACTTCTAAGTGCCCAATCGATCTGAAATTTTGCACACTTGCGTAAAGTTGGAGACAATGTATGAATAAATTGACAGAATGAATAATTTTGAAAATTAACAAAATTTTTATATATTAAAAAATGTGAAAATGAATTTTTTAGCGCATTTTCTCATTTATGGGAAAAAGGCGCTATTGTGCTCGTCATGTCCCTCCGTCTGTGTGTCCGTACGTCTGTCCGTCCGTGACTTCACGTTTTAGTCGATGGCAAAATGCGTTCTCTGTCACTCACTGCAGTGAGTGCTGAGTTATATTTTTTTTAATATTTGAAAAAAAATTAAATTAGAAATTCATTGTACATATATAAAATCGAAGACACGGGATTCTTTAGAAGTCTTGTCTTTAAAAAGTAATTTTAAAACGCATATTGTTGATTAGTAGGTGGCTTTTGCAAAAATCAGTAACTCTACATGAATGCTCTTTTCCACTCACCCGGAACATTTCTTGAAATTATTCAATGAATAACTGAGGTGAAGATCGAATTTGACTCCGGTAACTCCGGTAGACGAGGCAATAATAAACAGGGCTTAGTTTTGACTAAAAATATGAAGAGGTTGAAAAAACGAAGACTGGACGGCGTAACCTCGCACCCTTCACAAAGGGTGCCGTTTGATGTGACACCTTTCACACTATTATTATTTCACAATTATTTTACACTATCCATAAATCATATTGTGCACTATGACTTTTGGCTATTGTTATTTTGCGGTGAATTGTGACAATAGATACAAGAATTTTGGGTTGGTTCCAGTTTTAAGAGACCAGATACATCGCTTCACGGATAAACTTTCGATTCACAATGAATTGTTATATATTGTTAAATTTTAGTTCAACTCCCACAATTTAATTCATACGAGGATAAAACATTTGAGCATCGAAATGTTAAAATTAAAATATAGATAAGAATTGACGAAGATATGGCGATTGTTGGTCACTGCATGGGTCAGAGTATATTACTGTATTTACGTACAATACACAACGGTTCTACGCGAGTTTCACCAAATACCGTATAATGATGGAGAGAACGACTGAAAACATTCCCTGTGAATATATTTTTTTAATATATAAGAAAACGCTTCTTGTTTTTTAGAGGTACTTGCTTCCTTTTTAAATGGACGGATTACTTTCTACTTGAGATATTTTATCGAGAATTATAAACAGTCTGATGTTAACAGCAAATTTTCTTATGCGCGTAAATCTACTTTTTCCGTTAAGCAATAGCGGGATCAAAGTCAGCATGAATTTCTTAGAGGTCCAACGATCTAATTTAAGACCATGGAAGCACGTACTCACGCACGACGTAAGAATTCCATCTCATGTGATGATTGCGTTAATGCGAACCGTAGCGCGGGCAGCCACTGTTCCATTGCTGAAAATTAGAAGAGTTTCATCCACGGCTGATCGCTGGCCATCTATTGGCCACTGATACTGTATTATAGGCTGTGATTTTTCACAGGCTTGCCCTCCCTGGCGCGGTGAGGAGGTCAATCTGGTGCACTGGCCACCCTCTCGATTGCTATCATTTGTCTGCACCGCCGAGACATCGAACACCAGAAGCTTTTGCTGCATTTTTTACGTAAGGAGTCGAGGGAGAATCAAGCTGGGTTCTGCATTCCTGCGACTTGCGTAATTTACCTTCGATCGTTTTCTTCATCTTGTAGATTTAAACTAAATAATACGTATGTAAATTAACGATAAGCTTTTTTAGTTATACCTGAAATTACGGAAAATTTATGATTGGCAAACGAAACACGAAATGTGCATTGGTACTCGCATTATGAACGCTTTTCGTTTCCACGCTTGGGACCGTCACGTCATTCACGAAATTTCAAATAGCGAGAGGGCATTTTTAGATGAAGCTTCATGAAAGTTAAAATAAATAAACCAAGTTTAGTACAGTATAGTACAGTATAGTGCAGTATAGTACAGTATAGTACAGTATAGTACAGTATAGTACAGTAATACAACAGTAATCAGTACTAACCTCGAGCTACTCTTCAGGACGACCAGGGCTCGGTGAGAATGGAGCTGTGGCGAAGGCGTCGGCTGACCCCGAGTGTCCGAGGCGCCGGTAATCCGGTCATTTCTCAGTGTTTTCCAGCAGCTCACCTCCCCAAATTGCTTTGATTTTCCCCCATAAAAAGAAGGCTTTCAAGACGCGTAGCACATTTTTCAAGGGACTTTCCAACACAAGAAGAATGACTGACAGAAGCTCCAATAAAAGTGCAGCAGCGTGGCAGAGCAGACGAGCGTCGCCTGGTCATCACCGCGACAATTTATTTATTGAAAGCCGATATAGAATTCAGAAGCAGAAACTCTTGAATTCTAACAGTTTAAGTATGATAAAAGATTCAGCAAAGTGGTATAAGTTTACGAATAATTGTAAATCTAAAATAAATTCAATATGAATGAAATTATTAAATATAAAATATTTTATAATGAAGCCTTGACGTTAATATTTTGAGTCAGCTTGCAAAGGGGAAAATGTTCATGACATATACAGTGTTCAAAGCAGAAAAAACTATCAAGTTTTTCCCACACAATATCAAATAAATGCTTCCATATCGATGATACAGCCTGTCACTTCAATATTTGGTATTTGTTTAGCTTACTTTCTACTTTCAAAGCTTCCCAAGTTTCAAGCTAGGAATTAGTATCATAATTATGAATAAGATAATTCAGTATCACATATCTCATACATCAATCATCCTTCCTATGAATAATACTTGGACATCAGGCTTGGTTTTCGTTTTTGATATTTATTGGACTTGTAGGGATTCATTCTGAACGAATAATATTCTCATCAGTCCAAGGCCAAGAAAAATCATTTACGTGGATAAAACCGCTAAGAAATATGTCATCGTATTGTGACCTGGTGCGTATATACGCGACGTCATTGCGTCAATTGATGTGTCTCCCCCATGTCTAAGTAGCTTATGGACTCTGATCAATGAATCTACGTGACAGCTGCGTTTTTTATATATATCTTCTCCCCTTCCCTCACACAGTCCTTCTGGCCCTGCTCATACTCCTGAAATTTGTAATTTCGTACACATTCTATTCGCCTTTCAACGTTTATTTTGGTCGTTATACATGTAAACCTTTGTTTAATCGTCAACAGCGGCTGTGCACTCCATCACTGTGAACCCTCATTTAATTATGTAGCTTTCTCCCATCATTGTAAGTCGTCGTTATGCAGTATGAATCTCTTTCAATATATTATTGTAACCCTTATTATGCATTAGAAACATTCTTCTGTTAATGTGAGGCATTATAATGCACATTATTTTGATCTCTTATGCTGACCGAGTATGACGCAAAATTTCCTTTGGCGAACTTGAAGAAATACACACGATAAAATATTGAAGAAATAACAAAAATTTCTGAATTTCCAACAAGGCTCATATACAGATCCGAATTTGACTTCTCAGCCTAATTGAAACTTCACTGATCCTATCAAACTTGCGATTTTATTGGATTGTAAACTATTGTCTTGAATAGAAACAATGTCGAACATTTAGAACTCTTCAAAATATTCGCTTCTGTTCGATGCATTTTAAATTGACATTTCAGACCGACATCGAAGAATGCCCGTAACGAATCAATTGTTTTTGAAAGATAAACTGTCAACCAAAGCTCAACTGATGTGTGCTATCTCTAAGCAATTATTCGTACTTGCATCAGTGGAAAGGGAAATATTATAAAATACATCAATATCCATGGAGCCATTAAATATCTAGGTCATTGAAACGCAGGGATCGCTATTTATGTGGGGTCATTGATACAACGATGATTGAGTAAGATTTATTCTTCAAAGTCTGATAATTACAGGACGATAACGAGTAGAATAAATTAATTATCTACATTGCAATAGTCTTTCCCTAAGCAACAGCTACAGTATGTACAGTAGCGCTGACTAACCGCACAATTAATGCTGGAGTCGCGACTAAAAAAAGGAACTAAACAACCCAGTCACACGAAAATATTTTATCACAGTTTAAATAAGTTGAAATCAAATTTCTAGATGATTTCGGTTCGGATTGAGTTAACATAAAAATCCTTAAAATAAGTCTTGCCTTGGCAGAGAGTTTGTAAAAAATAAGGATTTCCATTCTCAGCATAACATATTTAAAATGGAATGAAAAACTTATAAAACCTATAAAGCGTTATGTTTCAATCGAGTTGGTGCAGCATTTCTTATAATGACTCCATCATAGTAATCGAAAGAACATAAAATTGAGCAAACGCATAGGTGTTTTGAACATGAAGCTTGAACTTCATGTGGACAGCCATCTACCTACAGTCTACCTGACTCGCTTCTACTCCGTAGACACACGTCATCTTTCCAATCATTCTAGATCTTGGTCAATTGGAATCCTCTAAAGTGAGTCATGGAAAAAAGTGAAAAAGTGAGTCACTTTAGACTCAATTTTTAAGTTCTTGTCAGAATGACTCACCAAATTGAAATTCTTTGTAAAAATTCTCACCCTGGTAGCATATATCCGATATTTCATTGCAATGACAGGACTTAGCTAATAAATCTCTACGTAATCCAACCTCCTATAGGAAGTAACCTCAGTTCACACATTGCTGGATCACTGAATACGGTCGTCCCTTGCATTAGCACAAAGATCAGACACAATTAAGACGGAGTAATTGGTTTCGCTAGGATAGTTCGTTATTCAACTACACCGATGGATGTTCAACTATCTCTCACCTCATACTTCATGCAGACTGTGCTTACTAATAAGCTGAATGTTACATCTTCACGAACCAATCCTTCATGTCTTTTTGCCAAAGTTCAGTGTGCCGTGCTATTAACATATTGCACTATATGCTACCTACTGGCATTGAAATCATTCGGGCATTGCCAGAAACTGTACATACCAGAATTTCAACTGAGTCTCTAAAATAAATTTTATCAAGAGTGATAATGAAAACGTTAAGACAAAGAAAAAAAACTCATTCCATATTCATGATTGAGTTAATGATATTATAAAACTTTTTGTCTGTTTGAAGTTTGAATAAAATTCACGCTTAAAAATATTCTTCATGAATGGACAACCTTCTGAAACCAAAGACCTGCATTTTCAGATAACTGAATGCTCGTATCTAAAAGTAATTATATTACAGTATATTGCATCGACGTCCTAGAACTATTTAAAGCACCAGATCGTTCAGCTTGTACATTCTAAGATCCCTTATATCCTATTTTATTATTAGGTACAACTAGGACTATAGCTTTGGTTGGCAGCACGAAGAAATATTTTATCCAGAGAAGAGAATATATCCCTCGCCACGAGGGCGCCATGACTTGAATAAGGCTCGTGAACATGAGTTACGGTAGCTCATTTGCATGGATCGTGGATTGAAACCGCAAAAAATTCGCGTATAATCTGATGTTATATTGTGCTGATTAAATTAAATTATGTTATATGGTACTGATACATGCCTCAGGTTTGAAGTCGTTGATGGAATGAAAATTAGATTAGAGGACGTATTGACTATCAATAAAAGGAAATTTCGGGGTTTGAAAGAAGGATAACAAGATTGAACCTTAATTGAGATAGAATTGAATGCCCCATTTAATTGCGGTTTTACCCCTTATCACATTAAAGGTGAAACGATCGGAGCTACCAAAGTAACTACAGAGTTATACCATTCAATATCTATGACTAGCTCTTGATCATGGTTTGTGATCATGGTTTGTCTTGATCATGGTTTGTGAATTAAGAAAAGAATTATCAGGAAAATTCTGATATCTAAATTGATTTTGAATATAAAAGTATAAATAAATTTCTCTCATCCTGGAATTTATCAGAACAACTATTTTACGTCAATCAAAGGGTTCTCTTCAAAAAATTCTGCTTGCTAATTGTATTCAGGGCGCCAACTAACGAGTCTTTGTTAGTACGTGTTCATTAATGAGGAATGTATTGCGCAATGTATATTTAAATAGAATAATTCGTGTGTTCGTGGGAACTGCTCCAACTTTGCAGTCATATTCATATCTATGGCGGCAGCCTCGACGATAGATTAAGCCGATATTGGAAAATTTGCACTCATGCAATCGCTGTTCATCTTTTCAGACAAACGGTGTAAATTCAAATGTGGAATTGAAAGCTATGCTACACGTCAAACCTAACATCATCATTATTACTAATTAGCATCGACATGTGTGCTCCAGAGAACAATATCATCAATAGCAAGCCTCAGAAATGCAGTCCAAAATTTAAATTCATGATCTCGCTATTATTTTTTCAGAAGAATATAGGCCAATTACTTCAGTAATCATGTGGATTAATTATCATGCAGGGTACCAAGGCGAGCGCAGTGCATCGTACGGGTTTTTAGGAGGCCCAGCCTGTGATGAATACAAAGGTGAGTAAAGATCTGCGTATGGGTCACACGCATGGGTCTTGAGTCTGTCCGGCGACATACTGGAGGGTGGAGTGAGGTGATATCCTGCGAAGCTGGCGTTGTGCGTGGGAAGGATGCTAGGGGACTGGATGGTTGACAGCGGAGAGGCTGATATGGATGAGTTGCCAGGCGACGTCTCGATTGTGTCCCGGGACGTTCGGATGACAGTCTCACGTTTGGCTGCGTAAAGCTGTCTTAGTATAGCGGATGATGAAGGTTCCTGACCACCAGCCCACTGGATGGTGGACAAACCGCTACCCAGTCCACCTCCCAGGCTGTTGGCGAGTCCACTTTCATGAGGCAAGTGTCTTGTCATGGCTGCTTCGAGATGACGTACTGAGCCTCCACCTCCCAGGTCGTGTTGAGAGAGTTTATCAAGCGACGTAAAGTGGTTGTTGTTGTGACTGGGGGACGACCTGCATCTTAAGGGGGAATATCGGGAGTTGGGGAGTGCAGAACAGGGACCAGGGGACACTATACCCGGTGGGGACTTGTTGTTTTTGTTAGGGGAGTGGAGTGGAGGCCTGGGGAGGCTTGTTGGAGGTGGGGGAGTCAGAGGAGGAGAAGCCGTCGATGACGAAGTTGGGGAATTTGTCGATCCTGGGTTTTGGTTGTTGTTCACGATGTCCAGAGGAGGCAGCTGGAACACGTATAAAAAGAAATAGGCATAAATGTTTGGTCACAAAAGAATTATCTTTTCATTTCTCGACTGAATTATATTTGACTCTTTGCATGATTTCTCGTCTACTTGACTTAAACATTATCAAATGACAACGATATAGATTCAGGGCACCAACAGGTGCATTTAGAACAATTTCGTATTCATTTTTGAAGCTTAAGGACTTTTCGTAAACATTTGCTATTAACTGCAAAATTTATGCCAAGAGGATCCATACTGGGACAGTTGGAGCTACAGAAATTTATTATGAAACCTACACGTGATCTGATTCTAAGAAGAAGTTAAAGATTAATTCTTTACGACTATTTTACGACCGTATAGTCGTACAATCCTAAAATAGTTCTCTTACCTCATTGATATTTTCAGGAGAGCCTTCACCGGACTTGGCGTGCGGCCGCGCATTTTGATGCTCCGCGCGCGGATCGCTCTCCGCTTGTCCGCTGCCAGAATGCCTACCGTCTGAAGAAATCCGACACAAAATCTAAATAAAGTGAAGTGAAGAAAAACAATCTAAAAACTTCATCAACCTTTGCTGAGTCCAGGTGCAACGGCTGGCCTGAAGTGAGGTCATCTCTGCACCTATAACCCGCCACCACCACCTCCACCACAAATCTACTTAAATCTTGTGTTGACTTATAGATTTTCAAAATAATCCATTTACTCTTTTTAACAGACCCATTTTGCGAGTTATGCAGACATTGTCCAGAGGTCAACATCTTCCATCAGTTCTTTCACATAAATGACCAGTATAACCCACTTCCATATTTATGATTCAGAAGGTTTCACCATAGATTACACTTTCATGTATATAAGGTTTGTAAGGTCACTCAATTTAAATTCTCCTCATATTGATGCCGAATAAATAAAAATATCTCTGACTCCTTCAGGTCTTTGATTTATATGGTTGCAAAATCCTAGCTTATCTTATTCCATGTTTCTACTCAGAAATGTTATTCAAGTCTTAGTATGTTTGTCTTGAATAAAGTTAATGGATTCTTGACTGCTTTCATACGCATGCTGCATAAGGTTGGAAAATCACCAACTCTTTAATAAATATGCTCCATTTTCTCACAAAATATTTAACTGCTCTCATGTGTATGCCTCATAAGTCTAAAAAACCATTAACTTTACATGTTTAAAATGTTGAAAAGCAAATTTCTTCAATATTAAAGTAAAATAAGGAAATCTGGATTTCTTTCCTAGAAGGAATTAAAAAAAATTAAAATACCAAAATTCATCATGTGTAAGCTTTTCCGGACAGAAAAATTTCAAATACTGTTAAAGTACTTTTTTAAGTACAACTAAGCCGCGCAAAGTTGCATCATGCGACTGTAATGTAAAAATAACTAATGTACAGGGTTATTCTAAATGATAGGCAAAATTTTAATTTGTATTCACCTATGTATGAATTCAAATGAATAATATACACACCAATGGAAAGAAAAAGATTTAAAGTTTTTTTACATATTTATAAATGTTTAAAATCTCCTTATGCTACACAGCAAACATTTAAATTGTAGCCAGGCTGGACCCACATACGAGAAAGCATATTCTCAACGCTCAGGAAGTGACTAATTCAAAAAGTTTCGGATATCAAGATTTGAAAAAAATTTTAAGATTAAAAAAAATTTAAATCTTTTTCTTTCCATTGGTGTAAAAGTAATTCATTTCTATTTATGAGTAAATAAATACGAATTTATTAAATTGGATCTGTCATTTAGAATAGCCCTGTATTTTATTCCTAATTCAAATGAACACCAGAATAATTAAAACTCATTTAAAAAAATAAATATTTAAAGAAATAAATAAAATCGTACCGAAGTTTGATGTTTTGTTATCGCTGCCGCTGTCGCTTGGCTCGGAGTTGAGAGCGGCGCCATCCTTGCGGGGCAGCTGGCTGCAGTCCAGCACCGTGCCGGCAGCCTCGGTTCTGCTGGATCACCGCAATAATATACGTTAAGTTTACGTCACATAAATATGTTAAGTACCTCAATTATATGCGTTAAGTTTACGTCATATATATACGTAAAGTTTACGTCAAATATATGCGTTAAGTTTAAGTCAAATGTATACGTTAATTTTATTTCAAATGTATACGTTAAGTTTACGTCAAATATATACGTTAAGTGTACGTAAAATATTTACGTTAAGTTTACGTCAAATGTATACGTTAAGTTTACGTAAAATGTATAGGTTAAGTTTACGTCAAATTTATACGTTAAGTTTACGTCAAATATTTACGTTAAGTTTACGTCAAATATATACGCTAAGTGTACGTCAAATATATACGTTATGTTTACGTCAAATATATACTACGTGAAGTTCACGTCAAATATACACGTAAAGTATACGTCAAAAATATACGTAAAGTTTACGTCAAAAATACACGTAAAGTTTACGTCAAATATACACGTAAAGTTTCAAATTACGTAAAATGCATAGACATGCTACTGCGTATCCCGGTGACGTCAAATTGGAGACAGATTTAAATGATGATTGAAAAATTACGCTGATGATCTTATGTTTTTTACCAAATTGATGAGAACTGCAAATAATAATACGACTAGCCCATCTAGTTGAAAGTAATACCGGACATGTTGTGTCAATAAACCAAAGCCCAGAATGGTCATGTCGATTACGCGGTAACGTTGCTCAAGATCCAACTTTGTTACTCTATCTTAATTAAGCTGCATGGTTTACATGTAACTTAGTGTCCGCGGTATCTGTTTCGGACGTCGCAGCCCCATGCTCGTAATTTACTCTACAAATTAAATCAAATAAGATTTATTTCAGAAATAATATATCATTACAGCAGACCTGAGGACATAATTGACAGCAATGATGCTCTGTTCTTCGCCGGTCTTGGTGTTGCAGATGATGGTGGCGCAGAGCTGCATGAGACTGTACCCGCCCGCCTTGTTCAGGAGGCGGTAGTATGGCGTCATCACTTGGCCTTTCTTCAAAACTGCCGGGACACGGGGTCAAAATTTTAGAATTAAAGAAAATATATTTAAAATTTATTCGCAATAATTTATTATTTGTTGCCTTTTCAGTGGGCGTCAAGCTACGCCCAAATGTTTTTCATACAGCGAGGTCATGTAATGCAGCTCTTGTTCTGATGAGAATGAATTCAGCATTGAAATGTTCAACTCCGGTATTTGCGGTCTGTATGACTTAATTTTTATATATTTCATTGCGATTTACTTTAATCATATAGTTATAAAAAAATTAGATTTTCTACTATCAATATTTTCACTTGTCCGTTCACTAGTGTTTTAGGATTGAAATATTCTTTCTGATTATTGCCCTTGATATGTTCTCATGCCCTGGAACTGTTGTAGTTACCGTCGCTCACGCGATGGATGTAGCGAACTTAATGCAGTAATTCATTCATTATTGAAGCTCATAAATAATTTGTACCTTTCATTGTGACAGTTTATTGAGGCTTGAATTCACGATTCAAAATTAAATATGATCTAGTCTTTGATTATTATTTTGTGTGACATTCTTAGATGATATAGATAGTTCTAGGACCATATCATTTTCATGTATTGATGAACGAGAATACCATTATTGACTTACACAGGAGCCCTGAGCAATTGAATGTCAGCTTTAAGTGTTCAGTTAATTTCTAATTCCTATTATATTTATGTTGCTGAATCATAATCCACCCATGACAAACAGCACGAATTTCCGATCAGCGTTCGCGATAGCAATCGTCCGCAAATTATTAATGATAATGTTTCTAAATTATTGGAAATCGATCGGAAATGGTTAGCATTACTAAAACCATTTTTAAGTTCAAAACTCAATTGGTACAGATTTCTTAATCATCACAAGCAACGGCAAATATTAATAAGTCACGATCACCGTTTTATTGTTGATGAAGCTTTCTAAGCTTGACAAGCGTGTAGTGCAAGTGGCTTAATTATGATACTCAGTTTCTAATTATTGTTGAAATATCTGCATAACAAATGTGGCTTAGTAGTTAGGTTCATTATCAGCATAGCAATTAAGACTTGGCTCAACATATAACAAATGAAATAATAATAAGTCATCAGCGTGGTCTGCTCATTCGGTAAGTTTTTATTGCTCATGAACAGCTTGCAAGGAAGCTGTTGTAGCTGTTGCAAGGAAGGAATATTGCATTAGCTTGCAAGGAAGGAATATTGTAGCTGTTTATTGCACATGAACAGGTAGCAAGGAAGGAATATTGTAGCTGTTTATTGCACATGAACAAGTAGCAAGGAAGGAATATTGTAGCTGTTTATTGCACATGAACAAGTTGCAAGGAAGGAATATTGTAGCTGTTTATTGCTCATGAAGAGGTTGCAAGGAAGCGCTATACTCACGGTCGGTGTGGGCCTTGCGTAGGAGCGTCGCGTCCTGCCCGTGGCAGAGGGAGTACAGGGAGCGACCCTGTAGCTCCTCCGCTGTGTAGTCCAGCAGGTCGCTCACTCTGCGCCGAGCAAATGCCAATGGTTTAATACAGAAAATACATGATAAACCAAACACGTCATTATTGTATTATATCTTCGGACGAGCATATGCCAAAGGTTTTATACAGAAAGTACATGATAAACCAAACACGTCATTATTGTATTATATCTTCGGACGAGCATATGCCAAAGGTTTAATACAGAAAATACATGAAAAAGCAAACACGTCATTATTGTATTAGATTCTGGGCTGAGCACATGCCAAAGGTTTTATACAGAAAATACATGAAAAACTAAACACGTCATTATTGTATTATATCCTCGGACGAGCATATGCCAAAGATTTAATACAGAAAATACATGGAAAACCAAACACGACATTATTGTATTATATTCTGGGCTGAGCACATGCCAAAGGTTTTATACAGAAAATACATGAAAAACCAAACACGTCATTATTGTATTATATTCTGGGCCGAGCACATGCAATCATCACCAGAGGTTTATAGATATTAAATAAAATACAATAGTTTTCCTATCGACTATTTATTCTTATAAAAAAGTTAGCGTTCAAATTGTTTTTCGCCATATTACACATGGAGGATCGATGGAAATAATTTCAATGATTAACGAAATGATTACACTTCTGTTTCAATCCCTATTGATTGAAGATGCATAATTTCAAATTTAACGTTCGATATGTGTCGTTCAGAATGGTTTGACAAAAAGTAAAAAATAACTGATTATTTTTTTCTCTGATCAAAAATTATCACTTCTATTTATTTTACTCCATTTCAATCGATCTAAATCCTAAATGGTAGGAACCATTTTTTGCGTCAAGATACTCACTAGCACGTGCGTCCAATGCACCCTATAATTGTGTTCGAGCACTCAAAATTGCCAACAAAGTTATGTAGTTTTAAAAATCATCAAATGTAACCTACCAATATACATACTTATCAAACGTTACAAGAAAACAGCTCACTTTGGCTCACAGTGGGCGATTCTGAAGTCGAAGTTGAGACGCGTCACGAACATGTCTGACTCGAGTCGAAGCTCGTGCACCGAGGGAGGTGGCATGGCGATGGCAAGACCGACCATGCCAAGAAGAGCGGCCGGGGACTTGCGGGGAGTGTGCGAGAAGACGTACTGGGGCCTTAGATGACCCATAATCAGCACCACCTTCAGAAGAGTAAAGTAAACTAAGCAAAAAGTTTTCGTATTGCTCAAAACTAGTACACTCAGTACACGGAACTCTTGAAGTGGCAGCCTCGCTTGTTATACGCAACAGTGGCACGCAAATAAGGGTAGCCATCACTCACCCTGTACCCGGAGCTCTTGAAGTGGCAGCCGCGCTTGTTATACGCAACAGTGGCACGCAAATAAGGGTAGCCATCACTCACCCTGTACCCGGAGCTCTTGAAGTGGCAGCCACGCTTGTTATACGCAACAGTGGCACGCAAATAAGGGTAGCCATCACTCACCCTGTACCCGGAGCTCTTGAAGTGGCAACCCCGCTTGGTGAGTGTGGACTTCATGCGGATGCAGAAGGCTCGGTCGTAGCCAGTGTAATTGGAGTTCCCGTCTACCACCATGGACGTGGCAACTGTCGGCAAGAAAGTCCGAATATAGCTTAAGATAATTTCCAGTTCATCATTGGTGTAAACAAATCTAAAACGAATATTTTTCCCTACCGAATTCTCCACTCATTCTACATGCAAAGATTACATATTGACCTGAAGGCTCATCGCCTAGCACTGTTATGCCAGTGAAGAAAAGTTGACTTAAAATAATTATGCGGATCATGGTAATAAAATATAGCTCTAATACCGTCAGGATTCATGGTGCCCTGGTCATTGTTAGGCGTGGCATCGTCAGAAGCAAGACTGGATGGCGAGGGCGCTGGCTGCCCCGTGGCTAGGGTAACTTCCAGCTGGTCAGCCAGTTCCTGATGGTCGTCTGCGTGGACATACTCGAACATTGACGACCCAGCCATTTCCACCTGAGGGATGAGCACATACTGGTTCATGTATCATATTAATGAGGGTTTTGCGTGTGTTTAATTGATGTATTCATTAGCGGGGTCGAAAATCAACGACTTCGTGCCGTCTACGAGATTATTGAACACTTTCTTGGAATGTTGAGGGTGTTTGCTTATAAATAATGAACATCTAGGGAAGTTTAGAGTATATGATCATTGGAAAATTAGCAGTGATTCCTGGGCAGCAAATAGTCGAATAAATGACTCACTATGGACTTGCTTGACTCACTATGGACTCGCTTGACTCACTATGGACTCGCTTGCCTTACTATGGACTAGCTTGACTCACTATGGACTCGCGTGACTCACTATGGACTCGCTTGACTCACTATGGACACGCTTGACTCACTATGGACTCGCTTGCCTCACTATGGACTCGCTTGACTCACTATGGACTCGCATGACTCACTTTGGACTCGCTTGACTCACTTGTTACTCACTTTATGCCTTTTTGAAGTGCTTGGCTCACTTATGAAGCGCTTGACCCACTTGTAACACGCCTGACTCACCTGTGACAGGCCCAGGTAGATGGACACAGTCTCGGAGATGTACAGGAACCTTGCATCGGCTGCGAGGGTGAAGGCGAAACCGTCTAGGGATTGTAGGATGTGGGTGCCCTGGTGGGCATCAAAAAGCTCCATGTGGAGAGGAGTAGGCGAGCGTCCTCTTATATCTAGGGGAGGTGCATGTGGAAGACGTTATTTAGTACAATAATGGTGTACACGCGCACCTCTTAGTACATTATTTTGTACATTAAAGATGTTTTCGCACATCTCTTACTACATTATTTTGTACCGTGAAGGCATACACGTATTGACTCCTATTAGTGCATTATTCGCCTCATAATCCATTTTGCAATACGTATTTAAAGGGATTATTTTTAATATAGATGAATAGGGAATAGGACGCCATTCAGTTGCAAAATAACAAAATGATGCAGTTAACTGAAGTGGAATATAATGTGGAGACTAATCATATTTCACAAATCTCATGGAGCTTATGCCTGTTGTACGAAAGGTTTGGAACATTTCGCTATATTTATTTCAAGTTTTAAAAACTTGCTTAACTAACTTTTAAAGTTCTTATTCGGAGAATGAATACGAGTCCAGGGTGGGTCGCCGTGTAGAGTAAAATCGCGTAGCTTAAGATAAGATAACGTCAGTCTGATGACCGAGGCTTTGTCCAGCTGTGTTGTGATGGCGTGAGGGAGGGGCAACATCTGCAAGATAATAAATAATATACCGATTATATAGTGATGACTGTTATTATAGTGATAAAGAGTTATATAATGATTACTAGTAATAGTTGAGTCCAAGTGGCGTCAACGAGTGATCATTGATCATATATGTTACAATCGAGTTTAACTGATCTATAATGAGTCAGGGGTGGATTACAGGATAAATTGATTAGAGTGTGCAACATAAAACCGATTTGGAAAATTAGCTGTTAAGAATTTTTCGGTTGGTTAAAAAACTATTTGCAGCTCAATTAAACTATAATCAAGCGAAAAACAATATTTAAAAAGTGATGCAACATTTGGATTTGATTCACATTATTGCATTGACTTTGAGCCGAAAAATTATTCATCTATTTGAGACCACTAAATTAATTGAATAAAAATTAAATCAGAAAAAATTGACCCGCAATGATTATCAGTCAAACAATCGTGCATACGTAAAAAAAATTCGCAGTGAATTAATTAAATCCCACATAATAAGTTTAACTCATAATTCTTGTATTTTATTCTAGTTACCTTGGCGAGTTCGTAGAACTCAAAATTCTCCTTGCCTCTGCGGCTTCTTGCAGCGTCTCTGCTCTTCTCCTTGCGCATCTCCATGACGCTGTTGAAAATTGTACAATATATAAAATTGTTTTAAAGCGCCTGCGCAGAAAATAAATACATGAGAGTTTTCTTTTCAACTTTGATATTTTTCGGGTGTAGCGGCTCAAGGAAGCTAGCTCACTAGACCTCATTGCTTTAGTGGTCAATAATCAATAATAATCTTAAATAATTCTAGGCGAAGAAACGCTTGTATTGTCCAATGTGGTCAGCATGTAATAAAAAAAACTCAAAAATCGTTCATAAATTCTTGAATTTGTTAGAAGTCCAATTCTACGTAAACACAAATATTTTCGACGCCATAAGTAGAGTAAAACGACTCCTCTTGAGGACAAAAATGGGAAGTAGCAGTACGGAAAATTTTGTGCCGGTGTGAAGCGTGCGTTCCATTTGGTCAAAGGTCCTTTTATGGCCTGACGCTGGTTTTTGTCCCCCAGAACTGCTGTTAAGTGAGAGCAACTCTCTACTGGACGGTAATTTAAGAGACTGTCCACTTGCCCTTTTAGTAGTCCATTTAATCTAGTATTATAGTTATTTTATACATGGCTTGAGAGCCAGGGACGAAGTCCACTTTATGGGCAAATATCGGCAACTTGGTCGCATTATTTGGACGGTATCGTCGTATTATCGGCGGACGAACGTCGCGTGCTGCGCTCGTCGTCCTGATCATATCTAAAGTCGATCATGAGATTAGAACGTACGAGCATAATGGGGGACACTAAAATAAACAATTCTAAGTGACTGCCTCGCAAGAGGGCGGTAGTTAAATGTATGGCAGCAACAGGGGATGCAAGTGAAGTAGTAGTGTTGATTTTTAATATTCAGCGGGAATTCAGACTCTTTGCATGATTATTTGTGATTCCTATTGATTAACTTATTATCATTTTGGGAACGAAGTTTAAATTTTTATGTTCTGGAAGATCATGTTGATGTGGTACTGATTTTGATGTGGTAGTGATATTGATAAGGGACTAATAACGACAACCATTAAATCAATGCAATTAAAAATGATTGTATTAGAATTTGAACGAAGGGCATTTAAGAAGAAATAAGTTATAAGGTTAAAGTCAATTTTAGTTATCGGTTTTAGACAGTTTTAGTTAGTAAGGCATGAAATGAATGAAATTATGGGGGTTCATGATTTCGACGGAATCGTTATAACGCAATGATGAATCCTGTGAGTCAATATCATCGATTTATTAATGGATTCAATGCAGGAGAATTAAGCGCTTTTTCCATGGCTCAGCCTTCAGAGGAAATTGATCGAATAAAGTTCCGTTGATACAAGAATTAATTTCATTTTCTAATTTCTAATGTTGTTCTCCAATTATTCAAGATGATTAAAATGAAAAAAATATTGAAATCAAATCAAAATATTGTGAATGAATTGCACCAAGTAACATAAATTTTCTCACAAGAAAATTCAATTCCAAGTAATCCATAAAATGAAATGCCTCACATTGTAATTCGATGCTATTAAATTCATTCAAATATAAATCCGAAAAATAATGATACCTCGAATGACATCGCAGCACATTAGGTAAACTTGAATATTATTCCCTTGCATCAATTCGCAACATTATATATCGCTCTGAAGAAATCGTCCAGATCAGAATAACTGCTCTGCAATACGACTACATTTTGGGACGATACAATTATGTTTCATGCTATAAACTGAGAGCTTAAATACTGGGCCGATATAATTATTATAGCTGCTATAATCTGAGGGCTTCAATACTGCGATGGTACAATTATTTTAAGAATAAAGATTATATAAAGAATAAAGAATTTTAAGTGCTATAATCTGAGGGCTTCAATACTGGGACGGTACAATTATTTTTACTGCCATAATCTGAGGGCTTAAATACTGCGATGGTACAATTATTTTAGCTGCTATAATCTGGGGGCTTCTATACTGGGACAGTACAATTATTTTAGCTTCTATAATCTGAGGGCTTCAATACTGGGACAGTACAATTATTTTAGCTTCTATAATCTGAGGGCTTCTATACTGGGACAGTACAGTTATTTTAGCTGCTATAATCTGAGGGCTTCAATACTGGGACAGTACAATTATTTTAGCTTCTATAATCTGGGGGCTTCAATACTGGGACAGTACAATTATTTTAGCTTCTATAATCTGAGGGCTTCAATACTGGGACAGTACAATTATTTTAGCTTCTATAATCTGAGGGCTTCAATACTGGGACAGTACAATTATTTTAGCTGCTATAATCTGAGGGCTTCAATACTNTTGCAGTAACCTTATACATGCAGTTTGCTAAATTCCTAAAACAATGTAAATTCGAATCTTAAGTAGGAATATTTTTTGCTTTTCGCACGAAGGCCAGATACTCAGAGTTCTCTGGAACACGTGCAGTAATACAAATGTTGCGATGCCCTCCCTTTGATTGCGTGGGAGGCCATCCATTGATTGTGTGGGAGGCCTCTTGAGGCCCGTGGGCCAATTAGTTCCCCGCCTCACAAGGGCCTCGTAAAAGAGACACCCAATGCACTTCAGAGGACACTTCCTTAACACCGCATCTGTCACTGCAAGCACTTCTAATGCGATAACTCAACGCGGTGAGAGAGGAACGTGGCGAATCAACGCAGGATGATCGAGAGGGATGTGATAAATCAATGCGATATGAGAGGAATGCGCTAAATCACGCGACATGAGGAGAGGAATGTGATAAATCAACGCGACATGGGAGGAATGTGATAAATCAACGCGACATGAGAGGGACGTGATAAATCAATGCGACATAGCATAGCATAGTGATGTTGGCGCTGAAGAATGAGCCTGATGTGTTCTGTTGCCGATTCTTGTATAAGATCTATGGCGCTAAATTCATGAAAGAGTAAGGCGCTAAACAAACTCGTCATGAAAAAGTAAGGCGCTAAATCAACGAGGCATGAAAAAATAAGGCGCTAAATCAATATTATATAATCTTGAAGATCGTCTGTAATGATTAACAGCTGAGTAATGAATGGCCGGCCTTACATCGCAGCGATCAACGCTCATACGAGGGCCGTCCCAGCCGGTCATATGTTATAGTGTATGCATGAAGTAAATATGAATTACTGTATGAAAAAAATAATATTCCGCGTTCTGCTCTGCTGTTTAAGCTGATAAAGCAATAAGCTGATGAACGCGAGGTCAATAATATCTTCCAGAGTTTTCTGAACTGAAACTCACAGTGTGTATCTTTAAAGGATGCGGAAGAAGTAGTTATAGTTCAGAGTGTCAGGCTGGAATTCTTTAATGATTCTCTTTTTATTTCAATAAAAATAGATGGAATAGATACGGACTCGTTTTGCTATAACTTTCTGTTGAATGCTGAACTCTTTGATTACGGGACACTCTTTATGAACTTCGTTCTCGATCATAGATAAGCAACTCGGTCTGGCCTCTCGGTCTGGCCTCTCTACACAAGGCCACAAGACCGAAAATTCACGGCGATATTCAAGTCAATTCAATTGAATTGAGAAAAAAAATTCAATTGAATTGTATTCAACTCAATATTCCCATTCAATTATTGTACAAGTCATATCTGGCCCCATGTAAACGCACAAAAAACTAAGGCGCTAAATCAACGAGGCATGAAAAACTAAGGCGCTAAATCAATATTACAATATATTGAAGATCGTCTGTAATGATTAACCGCTGAGTAATGAATGCATGGCTGGCCTTGCATCGCAGCGATGAACACGCATACGAGGGCTGTACAAGCGCGTCATGCATTTACTGTATTAATGAAGTACAGTAAATATGAATTACTGTATGAACATAATAATATTTCGCGTTCTGCTCTGCAGTTTAAGCTGATAATGCAATAAGCTGATAAACGCGAGGTTATTAATACCTTACAGAGTTTGCAGAGATAGACAGTGTGTACCTTTAAAGGATGCGGAACGAGTATATATAGTTATAGTTCAGAGTGTCATGCTAAAATTCTTATATGATTATTTTTTTATTTCAATAAAAATAGATGGAACAGATACGAACTCGTTTTGCTATAACTTTCTGTTGAATGTTGAACTCTTTGATTACGGGACACTCTTTATGAACTTTGTTCTCGATCATATATGTAGATAGGCAACTCGGTCTGGCCTCCGAGGAGCCAGCTCATCTCATACACTATGGGCCACAAGTCAGAAAATGCACGCGATATTCCATTCAATTACTGTACAAGTCATATCTGGCCCCATGTAAACGCACATTATGACATTAGGAATATAAAAAAGTGAATGTATTTTCGAGATAACTGCTTTACATCGGATCTAGCCAAATAACAGGAAAATTTTGTGTACACTTGGAGATAGCAATTTTTGGCAATTTGTATGTCAATTACCACCTGGGAAAAATTTTGTATTGTAATAAAATGTAGGGAAATGCGATGTATGAAAGCTCGGTTAAAGGAAAACGCTTAGAATTATGAAAGTATTAATTCTCAGTACGGTATTCACCTTCCATCCGGATGCCTCCACTGCTGGTCGCCGAAACTGCAAAGAAAATTGCCATTGATGAATAAAAAATATAACTCAGTACTCATTGCAGTGAGTGACAGAGAGCTCATTTTCTCGCCGACGAAAACTTGAAATCACGGACGGACAGACGGACGGACGGACGGCCGGACGGACGGACGGACATGGTGAGCACAACAGTGCATTTTTTCCATAAATGAGAAAATGCGCTAGAAATTGATTAAGTATTTTTAATTGACTCAACAAGTCACCACTAATCATTTATTACTTTGTCAAGACCAAAAACTTCAATGAGGCTCAACTTGAAGCACATACATATAACTTATCTACTTATTAAATTCAAATCTTTAGTTAATATTTGATATTATATATCAGAATGTTGAAAAGTAGTTGAGCATGGTAGTGGTTTCCTTTGTGACTGCATGGGTGGACGTGCCTTCAATATTCGAACGACTAACATTTTAATGGGAGCTAATTAAGCTAGTTCATGCAAGAAAAAAAGTATTTATTATAGCTGAAAGTGTATTGAAAATAAGTAAGAAGACCAAACACTTAAATTTATTTTTAATACCGAGTTACTATGTATAGTACAGAAGAGGTTTCAGTTTCTGGAGTAATTACATGTTTAAGTTGATGTGATTGTTCACTTTTCTCTTCAAGAAGCTCTCCTCGAAGAAGCAATTAGTGGTCAGGGAAGCATTGGAGTCTGGGAAGCACTCCCGACGCTGCTATAAAAGTGTCTATGCGGCAAGTAATTGCTAAAGGCTTCTCTATTATGCACTAACGACGCCACCAATATTGTGCTCGACTCTCAATAATTGAAGACAAGGCTACCCTCGGCCGCACATCTTCACTTCAATTTCAAGCGGCAGCTCGACTCCACACAAACTGGAAATAATGTCGTCGCTCCAATTTGTGTCATACGGTTTATAAAATCTGGATTAGGAATCACAGGTTTACTTTTAAATTTAGAATCGAATTTTATTCTCTTATGATGCAAAGTAAGTAATAAGCAGGCTGAATGTATACGGACAAATTATCAGCTTTAATGTTCCATATTTCTAGGCGTCCCAGAGACGCCTGGATTGCATGTGCTACGCGTAGACCAAGACGCCAATTCTTTTGCGCTACAAATTTTGGCTTCGAATATTGATAAAAAATTAAGATAATTCTTATCTACACACACAGAATTTTTCATTATTGTGCACAAGAGTGCAATACTTTAGAAAAGCTGAAGTTCGAATTGGTTGAATAGCATCCTATTGCGTGCTTAAGTTACATTACATTACATATAAAGTTACTCACTCATTAAACCATGCACTGTGTGCAACTGGGGGGGGAAGCACTTGTTCCTATTTATTCCATGACTATTTTGACGTATTGCGCTGTGGCTTCATATAATAAACTCTGGAACATTGCAATAAAAAAACACAATTTTTTTGAAGTATAAGCTTAACAATATAACTCACCAGAAATTTGGTTGCTGCTGCTGCCTCTGCAGGGAGTATGCAGCAGCTGCAGCGTGCTGTGCAGCCTGCACGTGACTGTGCGGGTGTGGATGAGAGTGCGGGTGAGGGTACGCGTCGTGGGGCTGTAAGCCGGGGAAGGGAGCGTGACTGTACCCCAGCATGGCGGCTGAGTCAAAGCCGTGCAGAGACATCAACTGCTCTCTCGGTCCCGCTGCGTACCAGTCAGCCATCGCGCCACTATATATATTTCGGTCGAATTTCAGCCCTCTATTCTGGTTCTGAATTAGTTCAAGCAGTTATTTTTTCAGCATGTTTTATTCATTGTTTAAACTTCTATTCTAGTTCTGAATTAGCTCACACTGTTATTTTTCAGCCTGTTTTATTCATTGTTTAAGCTTCTATTCTAGTTCTGAATTAGTTCAAGCAGTTATTATGTCAGCATGTTTTATTCATTGTTTAAGCTTCTGTTCTAGTTCTGAATTAGTTCAAGCAGTTATTATGTCAGCATGTTTTATTCATTGTAAGCTTCTATTCTAGTTCTGAATTAGCTCACACTGTTATTTATCAGCATGTTTTATTCAATCTTTAGCTCTCTATTCTAGTTCTGAATTAGCTCACACTGTTATTTATCAGCATCTTTAGCTCTCTATTCTTGTTCTGAATTAGCTTACGTAGTTACTTGTACACACGTTTTATTAAATCTTTACCCTTCTATTCTGGTTCTGAATTAGTTCACGCTTTTATTTCTGCACATGTTATATTTATTGTTCAACTCACTAATGGAGTATCTAATCCTTAGTTATTTCACTTTATTATTTCTCCACATGATACGTTGATGTTTGTTCCTGAGGCTGATCATTTGTTGTACTGTTATTACTATACATCCATGGGCGGTGACAGTATGGATCACGAGCACTGATGAAGAATTGGTTCTGTTTGAACTACCTGATCATAATAATGGCGAATATTTATAATCTCGATGGATTCTGTTGTGGTGTCACAAAAGAGATAAAAAGGTTAAAATTTTCTGATTTTTTGTTATGAATTTCACATTTTCTTCCTATAATTTGGTCCAGTTCATTGAGTCTCTCAGTCTCAGATTAATTAACGTTAATGGATAACGTTCACTGAACTGATGTCAAATACCCAATTAATAGGGGCATTTTTTCGATGGCTGAAAGTGTGATTAAAAGGGCGAAATCTTCAAATAAATGGGGGACACAAAATTATCCCAGAAATAGCGCGTTACAAAGAACTTAATATATTAATTATTCAATCGAGATCATGTATGCCCTGATTAATTCTGTTTAAAAATCAAGCAATTTCTTTTCTACACAAGTTTTACATTATTTATGAGCCTGCTTATGCAACATTTGGACATAGAAGTCTGATTTGATATAAAAAGACTTAAATAAAACGATCATACTTAATTAGATGAAATAAATAATAAACGCATCTAATTTATCCGCTTCATATACAAAAGTAAATGTTAAATTTTACCCACTGCAAATTTTCGAATTAATTGAAAAACGTTTTTAAGAAAATTTTCTTTTGCCAAAGCAAAAGGTAAATGCACTAGAATGTTTTCTTACAAGCACTTGTAAAACATGACATATATAATTACTATATAACTTTAGAGCTAAAGCAGAATTAAAGAGCGTTCTTCAATAAAACATATATAAGATCAAAGCAATCGGTAATCACATTATCTACTTAAAATTTGACAGTGAAACTATTTCCATGCAACTTCACTGAAAACTTTAAAGTACTTGATTTGCACCATAAAACATTTGGCACTCAGCTTAGAAGCCTGATATAAAATTATCTTCGCACAAAAGTTGACAAATTTCGGTAGCTTGGCTACTAGTTTCATGTGAAAAGTATGACATATATTTACATATATTTACGTATTTTGAATTTACGCTTTACCTTTACCACGTTTTACTGAAAGTTTTCGAATAATGGAGTAAGATTGGCTGGACAACATGGCTTTTGTGGTGCCTACTGAGCAGGCCATTTGGCCTGGAAATGCCAAATGGTACATAAATGAAGATGGTGAACTCTCCCCATGCTCTCTGAAAAAGCTTACTCTTAGTTTCATTACTGAAAACCTTGGATCTGTGTGCAATGTGGAATGTTAAGACCCAAGAACTATTTGCTGTGCAGCTCCTATTGCTAGTGCCTCTTCAAGAGAAAGCATTCAGAGGTACAGAGAAGCAACTGAAGGAGGTGCTGGAAAGTCAGCTTGTGATAGAGATCTTAAGGTCTTTGCTCGCACCAGTAGTCATAATTCGCTCACCGAATCCAGTGTAGTTAATGTTAATGGTAATGGCATCAAAGTTAATAGCACTTCAGCATCTGGTGCAAACTCCACTCCACGAACTGGCACTGAGGATCAACGACTTATCCCATACGCAATGTTTAATATACCTAACTATGGAAGAGTTTACGATAAATCTAATAGCACTGACCCTCCTAGTGAAAATGCTGAGCGTTTGGACCTCTTCGAAAGGGACTTCTTTCATTTTCAGTGGAGACAACCTGATGTTTATTTGTCACCTCGCACGGTTGCCATGTTTCTGGAAGAGCTTGACAGATGTGGCATGCTCAATGATTCTACACTCAGCCTCTTTGATACACCTCGCATGCAGCTCAATGAGGTCCGAATTCATCGTTGTGGCTCTCTCATCTCTGCTCGAGGCCTGAATTTCCTTATTCACAACAAATTATATCGCCTTGAATTGCATGGCTTGCAAATTCCCATCAAATTTGTTATCAGCAGTCTCAATTCTTGGACAAAAGCCAACCTTTCTGTTCTATCCATAGTATCCTATGCACCTTCTGACAGGCAAAGTGCTTATAAACAACTGCATCGTCTGCAAAATCTCCAAGAACTTGACTTGAGTAACAATAACTGCCTCGACCCAGCATCATTAAATATGTTGTTGCGGAGGCTGCCAAACTTGCATAGGTTGAGTATCAGTCATTGCGTGAACGTCAATACAATTGAACCTTTGATGGTCATTTGTGATCAACTGCAGCATCTCAGCCTATCAGGAGTGATGATCCACGACACGGCCATTACCATTGATGTGCTCAAGACCTTGACGAGACTTCGCTTCCTAGACTTCAGCGCTGTGACCACTAATCATGATGTTAGGCACGAAGAGTGCATCAATGAGGTGCTGATGAGCCCACACTTTGCTCCTGATTTGGAGTTTATTGACGTCTCTAATAAAGTAATGGTATCGGAACAAGTCCTATTCAGCTTCCTGTCAACCCATCCTAACGTCAAGGGTGTGGCGCTCGTCAACGTGCCTGTGTGTCCTGACTTCTGTACTTCCGAGTGGCCTCAAGTGAAGTTCCTGACTGGCGTGCGCTGCATTGGGAGCGACGAGTCTGTGCTAGACCTAGACCGTCTGACGGAGTGCATGCAGCACTACAGGCGCCGGCATATCCTGGCGCAGCAGATGCTAACCTTCGTCAGCGCTGCCACGCATGAGTCCTCACCTTCCAAGCCTCATCCTAAACTTGTTGCGAGCATCTTGCAGTTCATGGAAGACTTCCAGTCCCGGGAGTATGACCAGACCCTGAGCATCATTTGTCTGTACAACCTCACCGTGGGGAGCCCTGGTGCTGCACTGCATCCCAACCTTCAGCGCTCTGTGGTACATGCGACCATGCACGCCATGACACTACACGGGGACAACCATCAGCTCCAGAAGATAGGACTTCTGCTGTGCTGGCACTCAGTTCTGCACAACGTGTCCTGCAACCAGTACTGGGTGGCGATGAAGGCTCTGCACGCTCTGCACAGCTTCGCTGATGATGAGGTCGACCACATGGCGGTCGGCATCTGCTACACCCTTGCCGCCGAGCTCACCAATGAGCAGACTGCTCAACTCGGGTCCAATCCTGCCTTCATGAACAAACTGCTGGTTCTAGTGAGAGGGAGAATGCAAGACAACAACGCAGACATCATGCTGCAGTACACGCTCTCTGCACTCATGAACCTTACGGACGAGTCGCCCGTGACGTGCGAGATCTTCCTTAACCAGGATGGCCTGCAGATATTCATAAACCTCCTACTGACGTTCCCTGACAAGAGGTCCGTGGAGATCACAGTGCTGAAGCTCTTTAATAACGTCGCTGTGGTGCCAGAGCTGCGTAAGGAGCTCCTCAAGCCTCCCTTCATCGCCATGCTCAGGAGGCAGCTGCAGTCCGAGCACATCGCGGTGAGCTACTTCGCTGCAGGCATCTCCGCCTATCTCCTTTGTGCTGAGCAGGCCGCTTGGCTGGCCGCCGATGATCTCCCATACAAGGAAGTCCTGGCCGAGCTCGGCGACGTGGTGCTGGGCTGGGAGTGTCCTATATGGAGAAGATGGTGGCCTACTTATCATTCCAGCCTCTCCTGCCTCTGCTGCACGCGTCAGGCGCCCCCTACGTGCAGCTCTGGGCGCTGTGGGCGCTGCATCACGTCACCTCTAATGACAGCGACTATTATTGCCCCATGCTCATCCGGGAAGGCATCCCTGAGCTGCTCCTGACCCAGCGCGACGACGCGCCCTCCAGCGCGCCTTTCCTGCGTGACTTCGCCCTCAAGCTGCTCGCCCTCGTCGCCGCCTACGAGATGCGCGACGCAAAAACCCTAACTGGAAAAAACGCTCCGACTTTCATACCGTGCAGCAGGAGTTAGAATACTTACCAGTGAAATAATACTAGAAATAAGTGCCACGAGATACGCGACGCAAAAACCCTAACTGGAAAAAACGCTCCGACTTTCACACAGCGCAGCACAATCTAGAATACTTACCAGTGAACTAATACTAGAAATAAGTGCTTCTTTTGTTAAGAATAAGAACATTACTAACATTAACATTACATTAATAAAAGCATTAATAAGAAGAATGTCTTGTTTTTTTAATAGTTTTGTCAAACCAGCCTGCATATTAATAATAACCTCTGACAACTGTAAGTCAGTGAACAGGTCCTATAGTTCATATAGTGACTCAGTGCCAATTGGGCCTCGTATCTCCTACGCGAGGGCGCAGTTTGGTTCGCTCCATACATGAATAAATTCAACGTGACTTGTTGTAATGATGCAGATATTGATCTCCTCGAGGAGAGGTATGTACGTGATGTCCTATAACCGCATTAATCTAGGTTTGATTAAGAAACGTTTATAGTAAGGCAAATTTAGGATTTATTCGTGCAATATTAATTTACGTGTTTGTATGTAAACTAATCCTAAGGTTTGTTATACCGCCGCCCTTCACTTATCTTGTGCTGTTGTTTATTGTTCGCTTTGTCAAGAAGCGCGTCTTGCGGGCATAGAAAGTTTGTGCACGATCAGGTGCTTCCCTCTTGAGGTCTTCGCCATGCAAGAAGACATTTTTCTCTTCACTTCATTTGCAAAGCATTTTTCTGACTGGGTTTAGCTTTGCATAGACCAATGGTTGTTTTGGAATTGAAATCAGTTGGACCGGTCGGACAATCTGTGTCGCAGGTAATGGCTTCAGACAAGTTGGATAACATTGTTCTTTTAGCATGAACGAGAGTTTATATATATATGCATGGATATAATGTAAATACATTCGAAATAGAAAGAGTGATTCATAGAACAGTTTTTCATGTATGACTTCACTTTGGAAATTCTTGTAGTCTTCTAATAATTTAAAGTTGCAATTATTTTTATTCCAGTTAAATGTGCGACACTGATATTGTTAGAATTTTAAAACAGAAGAAGTTTAGAAGAACTTTTTTTTAAAGAAGTTAAAAAAAATTCAGCAGATCAATAATACAAATTTGTACCTATTAAGTTCTCGCCAGGGATTCTTACGAAGACAACAGAAACTATCAACTCAATTTTACAGGCTGAAGTTTGAACCAAAATTGAGTAAAAATTTTGACAACTCTCATTCAACGGAATTAAATGTTTAAGCTGAGCTAGCGCTTCGCCACTTGCCTATATGTCCATCATTTTTAATGTGCGTTAATTTAAAAATGTCCGTCATTTTTAAGCTCAATCGAGCTTTTTTTGAAGTAAAAAATGAAGTTAAATTTATAAGCTTTATATTTTTATCATTAAAATTTTCAGTAAGTTTAGCAAGCACTTAATTTAAAAAAAATTACGATTTTTAAAAACAGAAAATTTCATGCTGGCATTTCAAAAGCGCCAGTTGATCCTCAAGGACCAACGTTAATTTCTTTTCATTGCCTTAAAAAGTAATGAATAATTGGCTGTAATCTGCAAATAGTTATGCGAAGCAATTGATAAACTCAAAGAAATAAAAATAACCTACTCAATATTGTGATCGCATGAGGCTACATTGATTCTCATCCTTTAGCTTACCATTAAACATAGATTTAAAAACAATTTGATATTCAGGGTTAAAAATCGGATTACTACCTTGTTATGTCTAATGTCTACCAACACTGTTACAACAGGCTATACAAATATTATTAAACTTTGTAGCATCTGAATCGTGAACGCTGATCAATGTCCTCATAAACCCTTTTAAAATTTTTAAGAGACATAAAGCGAAGAAGCCTATCACACTTTTCCTTACAAGGCACCACATATTAATCAACTGACAACCTTTCTCTTGATAATAAAAAAAAATTCAGAACCTAGGTGGCCGCATTAACCCGCGGGATTTCTTTCACAATTAATTTCACCAAAACACTCACAATGAAGATTTTCGCACACGATCTAGCCATTTTTTCAGAGATGTAAAGTAAATAATAAGTCGGCACTGAGAGAGCAGCCTACAAGCGACTGAACGGGACGGTCTCTGGAGCCTCACTATCTGTCATCTTAACACTGAACACGAATTAGTGCCTGCCATTAAATCTTCAAAGCCTTACTCAGAACATCGTGTCGGAAACCGAACTGGGCTTGTGTGCTGGTATTGGGCTGTGTTAAAAAAAAAACTCAATGGAAAATAAAAATATAAACAAAATTATTGCAGCCTAACGTCGGCCATTCAGTGGCCACCAAAATGTCTGAGGAGAATTTGAACGACGAAGAGCAACGCGGAGCAGCGGCTCCATGCACGATCGCTGAACGCGGTAGCGAACTGTGGTGTCATCAAGCGCCTGATGCTGCAAAAACCGGCGGTCGGGCGTTTGTTTAGGACCGTAAGGACTAATAGACCTCTTAATAATGCTAATGTAAATTGAAAAAGCAATTTGAGCTTAAGTTTCTTCCGGAGATAAATTCGGACGTGATGCAATATTTTATAACATCGAAGTTTAAAATGATATTACAACTTCTTCTCTAATGAATCAGAGAATACCGATTCTACTCTATCATGTCTAAAGACGTGATATCGATTGTTATTAAAGTTTAGAAAATAATTTTGAGGTCACCATTCATCTCGTCACTAATCGTCGGAAAATTCGGAACTTATCGACGTCTGCGATGCTATTAAAAATAAAAAAAAATTGTCCTGCAACGACAGATTCCGAATCAGTACGCCACGGTATAGCCGGGGACATATAATCTGTCAACAATTCAGTTCATAAAAGAAAAACTCAAATTCGGAGTTGCACATGTCAGAAGAAGTTTGCCAACACCAATACCGGCGAAATTTATATTAGACAGCCCGTACATCGGCGACTAAAACATTACTGATCATGGCTGAGATTCTGAGAGCAGCGGCTGCAGAGGCCGAGTGTTGTTCGCGAGGATGTTCAGGTAGCAAGTTCAGGTCTATAAAGAGTAAGACTTGTTAAAGAGAGCATCATTATGTCGTGATATATGAGGCAGGCTATCGCCGAGTCTCGCCACCAATATACCTCGCGGCCACTCTACATATTATGAGCTCAGTCTCCGCATGAGTGTTTGAACGAGTTTTTGCATGAGTGTATGCACGGCGTAAATATTGCAATGATCTATTAGAAATTCATAGGCTGGAGAGGTACGGAATGAACGCTGAGAATTCTTACAGGGAATAACTTGTAAGGTCCATTGACTCGGTTGCCTCAGTCATCGAGTGAATTAGGGTAAATACTAGCAGATTTGTACTTCTGTACAAGAACTATATTATTATTTTGTACACGTTTTTTATATTTATGAGTCACGCTGATGGCAGAAGTGTTGTTTTGACAGAAACGATGTTTTTTTTCTTCAATTTTTACAGTCATTAATTTAAATCCTTCCATATTTCCGAAGCCTAGAAGTATTGACAATTTCCAAGAAACAATAAAAAGATTTAATGATAAATTTTGATTCATATTTATTTCATAAACACTTTATTGATTTATTAAACTAACTTCACTCGTCGATGGCGCCACAGTAAAGCTTGTCCTGCTTGCTCTGCAAGTTTTATTTTGAAAAAAAAAAAAAATTCATATACCGACGCCGAATTATTCAACAATACTGAGTGTAACTCGCATGTCGAATAGATTATTTTATTGCACGTACATGAATTAATGAATGAATTGTTTAACCTACCTGCTTGGAATAATGTAATTTTTCCGATAAACGTCGATACAAATTAGGAATATTTTAGAAATTTATAGATGGGTTTCTTAATTTTCTTTAAAATTTTGAAACTTTTTGCCCTGCATAATTTGTCGCAGTTAAACCAATTTTCCAGAGATATTACTATACCCACGGGCGACGTTGAAAGACTAGTTCAAATTTCCATAGCACATGAAATCTACAACAAAATAAGATCAGTCTGATACGTAGACCGACTGATCTTAATTTCAAATAATTAGAGTTCCAATGGCTCATCATCAACGATAAAAGTAATTAGCTGAGTATAGATGAAAAACAAGAGATGATTGTTATAGAAATAATTTCACAAAGATGAAATTGTTTATCGAACGTCCACAACATCTAAACAGCGTAAAGAAAAATATTTATTCCAAACATATAATAATAATAAAAACTCGGAAAAAATAGCTTAAATATTTTGACATATAACTGACAGATCGGATTGTTAGACAGTAATGAAATGAGGGGGATTTGGAGGGAGGGGGAGGACGAGGGTACAGGGGGGGCTGAAGGAGAGCGTGGGGGCTACGTCTTCACTGCACCGAGGTTGCGGCGGCACTGAAGTCCCGCGCGCTCCTCGTGTGAGGGACGAGCTATAGCGGGGCACTCCGGGACTGAGGGCACTCTGAGACTGAGGGCACTACGGGACCGAGGGCACTCCGGGACTGAGGGCACTACGGGACCGAGGGCACTCTGAGACTGAGGGCACTACGGGACCGAGGGCACTCTGAGACTGAGGGCACTCTGGGACTGAGGGCACTACGGGCCCGAGGGTACTCCGGGACTGAGGGTACTCTGAGACTGAGGGCACTACGGGGCCGAGGGCACTCGAGACTGAGGGTACTATGCGGGACCGAGGGCACTTCGGGGCCGATGACTAATTTTAATTTGCTAACAAAGCAGTTATCCGGGCAACAAATATTCAAAATATTTCATTTTATTGGAGTAACTGCATGCATGCATGTATATCATGTATATCAAACATGTTTAAAGTTTGATACACAATAGTCACAATATTGTTAGTATTAATTATTCTTTTGATATTCTCAAATATTGCTTCACAGGTATTGAAGAAATAATTTGATGTAATTTTTAGTATTTCCAGTATGAAAAGATTGAATTCCGCTTATTATGTGAATAGTCAAATTTTGAATACTAGAATCGAACAACATTTTAAAGAACGTAACAGA